CAGTTTTTGTAGGGAAAACGAAAACGAGAGAAATGGTAAAGAGAAAGAAGAGACCATTTAACATGAGAATGCAATTTTGTAGAATTTTCACAAAGCCATTGCTATGCCAGTAAAGACTACAGTTAAATATCCTTTTTGCACTGCAACAGTGCATATGATCTTTCTGGAATTGTACAGAGTTTAAAAGGGTTTTTTTTCTTATGTACAGAGAACTGTATCATATGGCAGAATCTTCTATTAAATAAATTAGTCTCTCATACATACATATATATATATACCTATCTATATATATATACATGCTTTTGTTTTTTGTGAGTGGGCGTGTGTGGGAGGGTATATATGTATATACATGTGCACACACACGCACACACACACATATATATCTATAAAATGGCAGCCAGTGCTATTGCAATTTGTCTAATAAAGCTTTAGTAAAAACAAGTGTATTCTGGAAAGATGTACAGGGCAAAGAGTCTTTTTTTTTTTTTCAAAGCAAATATGGGGTGCTTTAATGCTATTCTGATTTACATTGTTAAATTGAACGTATTTTATACTGTTCCTTTTTAACTAGATCATCCAGGGCAATTTAACATGCGTACCTAGATGTGCAAGTCACTAATTTAGATTTATTTATTTTTGTTGCAATCGCTATTCAACAGTGTTTAAGATTATGGTTAATCATGCTTTTACATTAAATTGGAAAATTGGAAAGCACTCATAAGGTTAAAAACACAAGTGTATATCCACAGGGATGCCTGATTTTCAGGTCTCAGGAGCATGAAAAACTGGTTGTGAAAGTTGAATAACCCTTATTGTAATCAATACTGTCAATATTTGGAAAAGAGATGAGAGTTTACAGAAAGAAGGCTGTTGGGAATGACTGGTGTGGCCTTAAATTACAGTCCTATAGTGCTCCAAGAAAGAGAGAAGGGGGAGAGAAAAAAAATAAGCTTTTGTTTAAATCTTTATTACATATTCAATTATCGATGTATTTTTGATGTGAGTTCCAATTGTATAGAATGAGAAGCTGATGACAGCAACAACAACAACAAAAAACAGCACCCGGTGACATTTTTGAAGCTAACACTCTACTTGTTCAGAACTGTAAAAATGAGCTTCAGTTGTAATCCTTATAAACTAAACTGCGGTTAAGTAGAAAGCAAGCCAAGTTATTACGTGTTTTTGTTTGTTTTAATTTGATATGATATTTACGTTAATCTAACTCAGATATGTGGATAGGACTTGATTTTAAGAACCAGCTTAGGTGATCTGCTGTAGGAAAAAAATCAAAGTATATTCTTCAAATCTATTCTATTTTGATGCCTAATTCTGTTCTGGGAGAACATCTTGTAATGTCATTGTTTTTTGTATGAAATCTGCATAATATTGTCTACTGTGTAAGGCAGAACAATTTTCTTATCATGAGAAAAAGACCATTCTGTTTCCAGGGTACAAGTGTTTAAAAGCATGCACAACTTGTTTCCCCTTGTAACATTCATGAGCATCTACACAACTGATTTATAAAAGAAAAGAAAAAAAGAACAAAAAAAGGGAAAAAATTCTTTACAAGCTATAGGGGTATACCAGATGTTGCGGCGGTTTTAGTGATAATCCAATTATTTTCATGTGTTGTCTATTATACACAAACACATTTTGGAGGCCTCGGTTGCAAGTGGCAGAGCTTTCTGTGTATAATTTGTCTAAATAATTTGTCTAATAAAATGGTTTTTTAAACTTGCCTCTCTGCCTATTTCAACGGTCATGTGAGTAGACAAGCAAGTAAGTAAGTATGAATTCAAAGCATTTGTTGACTTGGGGGCCATAACTGCATTCTAACTGCAGAATCATTGCTCAGGTTTCTCATTTCTAGGAAAGGCCTCATAAGCAGAGGTGATATTCAGCAGGTTCTGACCAGTTGTAGAGAACCAGTACTGGAAATTTTGAGTAGTTCAGAGAACTGGCAAATACCATCTCTGACTGGCCCTGCCGCCATCTATTCTCTGCCTCCCAAATCCCAGCTGATTGGCTGGGTCTTCTTTTGTTGCCCTGCCCAGGAGAACGGAGCTGGAAAGCAGGTTAGTGGGGTGGGGAGTGAATGAGATTTTGCAGTATCCTTCCCCCAGGAGTGAAGAAGGAATGGGGATTTTGCAGTATCCTTCCCCTGCCACGCGACACCCACCAAGCCATGCCCACCGAACCGGTAGTTACAAAATTTGAATCCCACCACTGCTCATATCTTTAGCTTAATTTGATTAATATTTATATCATATTTTTCAAAGTCAATGTCCTCTTCTCTCAACTGGTTAGATCAGGGGGTCCCTAACCCACAGGCCGTAGCTCTGTACCGGGATGCGGCCTGTTTGGAACCAGGTCGCACAAGCGGAGGGGTGCGAGTGCATGAGTATGCTCAGCCCCACTTGTGTGAATGGTGGATGCACATACTTTGTGTATGAATATCTGTTTGTGCAAGTGAGAGTTGCACACATTCCTGCTGCTCACACAAATGGCACTGCACACACGGAAACATCTCTCTTGTACACCCTGCCGCTGCCAGATGCAAAGCCGGAATGATTGCAGTTCGCTGGGTTAGATCTTAGAGCAAAATATGTGGTAAAACAGCTCTGAGAACTACTGATTTGAAGCCTCTGGCATTCATTGAAGTCACTGGAATAGAGAAATAAATCAAATTTACACTGAAATTTCCCAAAACTAGGTGGGCTTTACCAGGAAACTCCCCCAAACAAAATGTCCATCAAGCACCATACAGTAATGCTTCACTGTATTTAACAATATTTAATGGGCTTCTTCCCAGACGTTAATTGTCCTGACCAAAGCAGCTGACCAAAGACATTCCTATATTTTTAAATTATCAGGTGGGTTGCACTTCCAAACTTAATCAGAAAAGAATGATCAGCCTGACAGTGGGCCCAAAAAGTCAAGATGACAGAAATGACCACGTAATCAAATGCACATTTTTACATGTGATAAACATGTAGCTTCATTTTTGCCATTTTTTAACCTCATTTGGAGATGCCTCTTTATCAATAGTTACTCCTAAAGCCCAATACTTAATTAATCTGTTAATTCCCATTGAGCCATGGTCAGCTTGTATCGACTGCACGAACAAATGTCTGCTATTTTGATCTTAAAGAATAATTTAGCCAGGTTTTTAAGAGGAGACTGGATAGTCACTTATATGAAATGGTATAGGATCTCCTGCTTGAGCAAGGGGCTGGACTAGAAGACCTCCAAGGTCCCTTCAAGCTCTATTCTGACTCTGAGGTCATTCCAGTAACCGGTTTAATCCACAGGAATTTGTTCATGGATAACTCCATAGTTTTAGTGGTAGGACTGAACTATTTTCACCAAAAGGATCAGAGGAGAATCTGTTCAAGACTATAAACACTGGAGAAAATTGCTGGCATGGACTTGTAAATATAGAGAAAAAATAAAATGAAATGAAATAATAAAATAGAATAATAAAATAAAAAATGTAGGGGGCGTGCATAAGCGCACCAACGTGCCTACCGTCCCTGTC